TTTGCCTAGGAACCACCATGCTTTTAGCAGTGTAAATACTGCCAGATCCAATTCAGGCTTATCAGCCCCCATTGTTCTTTATTAAAATCACAAATTTTCAAAGGCCAGAACTGCCTAGGTCCATCTTAATTGTCAGATATTTTTTCCCTCCCTTAGTTCCCCTCCTTTGATTCCTCCAATATGTAGGACTCCATCATTAATGCCAACCCAGCATTTCCAGCCGCTTCATCCATCCTCAATGGGAAAACTTCTTGTGAGAAACAATTCTCAGATTCTCCTCAGAAGTAATTCACTGTATCAGTGAGATTGGCGCCATAGAAATGTAATAAATAAATAAAAACTAGCTCACAGCATTTGTTTGGGCATCTACAGGGACGCTGAACAGCAAGAAGCAAACCATGGCTGAATGTAGACTGTCACATACAGGTACGACTCAACTTACAACAGTTCATTTAATGACTGTTCACAGTTACAACATCACTGAAAGAAGCAACTTGTGACCATTTTTCACATGACCTTTGTACCATCCCTGTGATCAAAATTTAGATTCTTGGCAACTGACTCATATTTATGACAGGTGCAATGTCCTGGGGTCACGTGATCCCCATTTGCGACCTTCTGGCAAGCAAAAGTCAATTTGGGGAAGCCAGATCCACTTAACAACCGTGTCACTAATTTAAGAATTGTAGTGAATCAATTAGTAACTGTGGTAAGGAAAGTTGTAAAATGGGACAAAATTCACTTCACAAATGCTAGCAACAGAACTTTTGAGCCCAATTATGGTCAAGGACTCCTTGTATAGGCTCTGTCTTTGTTCCAAATCCTTAAACCTTGTATAAAATTCCACTTTGATTTTGTGCGTCGCTTCCAGTCCTACTCCAGCCATACGTACATAAGACAATTTGAGAAGAATGGATTTGCCACATCCTTGCCAGTTCTTGTCTTCCAAAATAAGTACTCTTTTCTCTTGAGTTTCCAGCATATATGCGAAACTGAGTTTCGTTGCTCTTTGTTTCGTACTTACCAATTATGAATCTGTACCACCCAAGATTATAAAGCACAACAAAAAAGTGATTGCAAGTGATCTTTGCTTGTTCACCTCTGACCAGCTTAATAGGCTCTTCTAAACTTTTAACTGTGTACACAATGGGCTCTGATACATTTTCCAGTATATATCAGACCAGGGTTTCTCAACCTTGACACAGTAAGTTAGGTAGACCTCATGGCTAGTTAAAGAATTCTGGTACTTGAAGTCCACCCGTCTTAAAATTATTAAGTTTGAGAAACACCAGTATTTTGATATAGGGTTTATTTTGCCAAAGTTATTATACCGAGGTGGAGCAGTGGTTAAATGCAGCACTGCAGGCTACTTCAGCTGACTGCAGTTCTGCAGTTCGGCGGTTCCAATCTCACCGGCTCAGGGTTGACTCAGCCTTCCATCCTTCCGAGGTGGGTAAAATGAGGACCCGGATTGTTGTTGGGGGCAATATGCTGATTCTGCAAACCGCTTAGAGAGGGCTGAAAGCCCTATGAAGCGGTATATAAGTCTAACTGCTATTGCTATTGCTATTACCCATTGTGCACACCTTTCCTTTAAAAAAAAACTGTAATTCATAGGTCTTTAGAGTGTTGAGTGCCTATCCCATCCCATCTCCCTTGCTCTCTGGCTTATATTGGCCTACATTGTACTATCTACAGAAGAAAGATGGGGAAGGAGAGATGGGCTAATCTTTCATACCATGGAACCTTAAAGCTGTCTGTCTCACTGCTCCCTAACAAACATCTGTAAGGAGGGGGGAAATCAATAGAAGATATTTATTAGACGAACTGAAGATGAACCGATGCAAAACAAAAATGTCTTTATCGGGCAAGATGATTAAAAACCAGAAGGAGGAGGAAAAGGAGAAAAAAAACATTAGAGCCATGTCTGTACCATATTCCTTTCTTGGATGGGAGAAGAGGGAGGCTCCAGACATGTAAATCACTTTAAAACTTAGGTTAATTAAGCAGCAGGAAAGTAATTGGCAGAGAAAGCAACAGAGGGTGTATTGGCAGTGAGCCACTTACTGGATTGGTGCTAGGATGACTGTTCTCTATCCTGGCATCCATATTCCCTTTCTGTAAGAAAAATAGCAACGGAGAGATAAGTGCAATTTTGAAAAACACAACAAAGTCATAGAGTAATTGTTAAATAACAGTTTTCCCTTTTACTGTATTAATGAACATTACAGTTTTCTTTAGGCAAACTTCTTTATTTGTGGAGAAAATTAGACATAGCTAAATGTAACATATAATTTGAATGCTGTTGCTGCCTATAAACTGGCATAATTGGTTTAGTGAAGGTGCTAGTTTACTAATAGTGCAGTCAACCTGAATGTGGTTATTATATCTGCAATCAAATAGCTCACCAATGGTTCTCTTCTTTGCAAAGTGTATAATTTTATAAAACATAAAAGTGTTCTAACTACTGGCAGTGTTCCTACATTACACTGCTATTGAGTTTTATTAAGTGAATCATCTGCATTTTGAGAGGGCAAAAATGACTATTTCTAAGCCTTTTATTTCCCCAGGGAAGCTCATAACTTTTCAGCTATAGCGTTCAAGTAATAAAGGACTCCTAGCAAATCCAGAGTAAAATTTCATTTTGCAGTGGATGATTTGATGACAGAAAAGAGTTTAAGCCAGATGTGCAAGACCCTCACAGAGAAAGAATGTCTCTAAATGTTGTTGAGAGCCTAGAAGGACTGTTGGTCCCTGGTGGCATAATAAACATTGGTCATAGACTAGGATCGCATATGAAATTATTGTTTATATACCGCCTTTATTATTTTTACTAATAACTCAAGGCGAACATGTCCAACACATCTTCCTCATCCTATTTTCCTCACAACCCCAACCCTGTGATATAGGTTAGGTTGAGAGAGAGAGAGCAACTGGCCCAAAGTCATCACCCAACTGGCTTTCATGGCTAAGGTGGGACTTGAACTCACAATCTCCCACCTTCTGGCCTGGTGCCTTAGCCACTACACTAAACTGATTCTCAATTAATAAATTGCATGGGCATTTGGTCTATCTTGTTTATCTTTACTTATTTTATTGTCACTGTACATATATACACAGTAAACCCATACAACGAAATTCACATAACACCCAGAGACCAGGCCCACCACACATGACAATCCCCAAACACCCCACCACCACCAAAAATTCCCCGCCCTTAAACCACCCAAGCATCCACACAACAGACCAAGTAATGCTGTCCAACAGCTCACTGATGGTGGCCCTTTAGTTCATTGTTGAGTGCAATTAGATCTCTGTGATAAAAACTATTCAGAAGAGATGTGGTCCGAGTTTTAATTGTTCTGTATTCTGCCGGAAGGCAACAGTTGGTCTCTCTTGTTGCCTGCAAGACAAATGTAAAATGCTATGCCCTAACCCTAACCTTTCAATGCAGTGTTTTATCTTTGTTTTATGTGACTTCATAAACACCTGTAATGGAGGGTGAATCTGGAGATAACACCATTCCACAATGACCCTCAAGAATTATGTGGCACGCATTGCTATCTCTGTGCTTCTCCTTCCTTCAAAGTAGACTGGTTGGGTCCCTCCTGGGTCTGTGAAGCAGCATTTTATTTTCTATCGGTACATATGGGACATGTGGTTTCCTGTGGACTCAGGCCTTCGAATTGGCCAATTAGGAAATTTTTTCTATCCATCTTTATGACAATGGTAAACTCAGAGGTGTCCAAACTTTACACATGAAGCGTATGAATGCTCTCTTGCCCACTGAGTGGATGGCTTGTTCC